ATAAACACAAGTTAAACTTTCACACGTTAATCATAGACTTCTATAACCCCTACTTTTTTTTTTTTTTAAATTTTTTTTTTTATGTTTTTTTTATTTATTTCTAGGAGAGAGAGAGAGAGAGACAGCGTGAGCAGGGGAGGGTCAGAGAGAGAGGGAGTCACAGACTGAAACAGGCTCCAGGCTCCGAGCTGGCAGTCAGCACAGAGCCCGACGCGGGGCTCGAACCCACGAACCGCGAGATCATGACCTAAGCGAAAGTCGGACGCTTAACCGACTAAGCCACCCAGGCGCCCCTCTATAACCCCTACTTACTATGAACCTTCCTCAAGGTAATTATCTGTACATATCGTCAATTTTGATATGCATACACCTAATTCCATTATTTGTGTCCATATTTCTTGTGATCTATTTACTTGTAGACAATTTGGGTAATTAAAATTATTTACATTACATGCGCTGCTATATACTGTAGTATTGCTCATTCCTTAATTATTTTAAAGGAAGTCTTCCTAAATATAATACTGTTGAGATAAAAGTTGGACATATGTTAAGGCTTCTTCCAAATTGGTCTCCAAAAAGTGCTGATTTACATTCCCACTTACGCCTTCACTGACTGCTGCCTGACTTACTTTTTATGACTTGGACAGAATCATGGTTGCTCCTGCTTCTGCTTTGGAGTCACAGTTGATTGGCCTATTATCTGAGCCATTTCATTACAGCTCTTATTAAAATCTACCAAGCTAGACTATGTTCCCTCTTAAAGAGACCACAACCATTTTAGGGACTGTGCTTTCTAAATTGTATTGGGGGAAAAAATTAATCCACAGGACTGGAAAACAGGCATCTACAAATTTTAATTTCAATTTGTCCTCTAAAAATTATTTTACAATCTTATTAAGGTATAATGGGTATAGTGGACTTCACATTGTTGACATGTACAATTGTATAAGTTGTGATATTGAAGGTGCTGGTCAAACCATCACCACGATCAAGATAATCAGCATATCCATCACACACTAAAGGCTCCTGTCACACCTTTCAATCCTTCTCTCCCATCCCTCCTTGCCCTATCTTCCCCACATACCCTCAGATTCAGACAACCACTACTCTGCTTTCTGTCACTATAGGTTAATTTGAATTTTATAGAGTGTTATGTAAATGGAATCATACAGCATGTACTTTTTGGGTATGGCTCCTATCACTCAGCACAATTATTTTGAGATATATGGATTTTATCCATATAGTGTGCATCAATAGTTCATTTTTAAATTACTCGGTTATATCCCATTATATGGATACGTTATAATTTGCTTCCATTCATCTATTGTTGAATATTTGGGTTGTTGCAAAGATTTTAACTATTACAAATGAAATTGCAGTGGTCATTTATATGCAAAGTCTTTGTATGAACATATGCATTTGTTTCCCTTGTGTGAATACATAGGAGTGTGAATAGCTGAGTCATATGGCAGGTTGAAGTTTTGAAGAAACTGCAAAATTGTTTTCCAAGATAATTGTACCCAGTAGATCAAATGAGAGTTCAAGATGCTCTATATCCTCACGCCTACTAGATATGATCAGTGTTGTTAATTTTAACCATTCTAATTGGTGTATAATGTTAGTTCATTGAGGTTTTAGTTTGCATTCCCTAATGATTAACGATGTTCAACACTTTTTCATGTATCCATTTCCAATCCATATATGTTCTCTGGTGAGATATCTTTTTAAATCTCTCCCCCATATTTTATTATTTTGTTGGGGAGAGGTTATTTGCCTATTGCATTTTGAGCGTTGTTACAGATACCAAGTTCGTTATCAGATGCACGACTTGCAAATACTTTCACACAGCTTGTGACTTGAGTTTTCATTTTGATAACAGTGTCTTTCAAAGAGGAGTTCTTAAGTTTAAAGAAGTCCAATTTATTCAACTTTTTCTGGTTTATGTATTATGCTTTATCTAAGAACTTGTTGCCTAAGTCAGAGTCAGAGGGAATGTCTCTTAAGTTTCTTCTAGAAATGTTATCCTATAGCATTTTATGTTTTGGCCTATGATCCATTTTGAGCTCCTTTTACATGTATTGAAAAGAGCTTTCTTTCTCCACTGAACTGCATTTGCACCTTTTTCACAAATCAGCTGATCATATATACATGGCTCTATTTCTGGACTATACTTGATTTCATTGATGTAATGTCTATCTTGATGCCAATGCCACAATACTTGATTATTGTATCTTAATAAGTTTTCAGGTAGTAGTAAGTCCTCCAATTTTATTCTTAAAAATTTTTTTAATGTTTATTTTTGAGAGAGAGCATGTGTGTATGAGCAGGGGAGGGGCAGAAAGAGAGGAAGACAGAAGATCTGAGCAGGTTCTGTGCTGACAGCAGAGAGCCCAATGTGGGGCTTGAACTCAGGAACCATGAGATCATGACCTGACCTGAGCCGAAGTCAGATGCTTAACAGATTGAGCCACCCAGGTGCCCCTCCAGTTTTATTCCTATTTTTCAAAATTGTTTTGGCTATGTTGGGTACTCTGCATTTTCCTATAAATTTGAGAATTAGACTCTGCTGACCTTTGGGCTGTTGTTTTCATACGTGTTATGAACCCCACAATACATTGTTATTATTTTAAAGACATTTAAAATATTATTGAAAATACTATCTTTTAAAGACATTTAAGAAATAAGAAAAATTGGCATATATTTATCTGATAGTTGTTTCCAGTGCTCTTCTTTTTTGGGCAGATCCTTATTCCTTTATTATTTTTCTTCTGCCTGCCTGAAGGAATTACTTTCACACGTCTTGACGTGCAGGGTTGGCTGGTGATGAAAACTTTCAGGTTTTGTATGTCTGAGAAAGTCTTTGTGTCACCTTCATTTTTGAAAGATATTTTTGAAACGTGCGGAGTTCTCTTTTTTCTCCCAGTGTTTTAAAAATGTTTCTCCACTGTATTCGTGCTTGCATTTTTTCCCAAGAAAGCTCTGATATCATCTTCATCTCTGTTTTTTTGTGCCTTTTTCTTTGATCACTTTTAAGATTTTCTTTTTGTCACGGTTTTGAGCAGTTTGAGTACGCAGTATGATGATGAGCAGTTTGAGTATGCAGTATGATGATGAAGTGAATAAAAACTTACGGTGTTAAAACTCAACAATACAAATACAACCTAATTTGAAAATGAGCAAAGTATTTGGATGGGTTTTTTCCTGAAGAAGATATACAAAGAGCGAGTAAGCACATGGAGAGATAAAAGATGCTCAGCATCAATAGTCATCAAGGAACTACAACTGTAACAATAATATTACGCCATTTTCACACCTTCTAAAATGAAAAAAAGACAGACAGTAGATATAGAGAAACTGAAACCCATGTACACTGATAGTAATAAAATTTTGTAGCTGCTTTGAAAAATACTTTGGCAGTTTTTCAGAAAGTTAAATTTGGAGTTACTGTATGATCTAACAATTCCACTCCAGGTATAGACCCAGGAGAAATGAAAACATATATCTGGATAAAACCTTCTATGTGAATGCTCATAGTGGCATCATTCATAACAGACAAAAGAGAGGAAAAACCCAAATGTCTACCAATTGATGAAAGAATAAATAAAATGGATAACACATACACACTGATTATATCATCAGTCATTAAAAGAAGTATAGATCATTGTTACCTTGAACCAGTGAAGATCAACCTGAGAAAACTGTGCTAAGTGAAAGAACACAGTCACAAAAGCCTATATTATGTATGATTCTATCTACATGAAAATCCCACAATAGGCAAATCTAAGCAAAATGGATTAGTTGTTGCCAGGGGCTGCGGGAAGAGGGAACAGAGAAAATCAGTAATGGGAATGGTGTTTCTTTTTGAGGTGATAGAATGTTCTGGAGTTAGACAGTGGTTATAGTTGTACAACTTTGTGACAGACTAAGAACCACTGCATTGTATGCTTTTAAAGAGTGAATATTATGGTATGTTAATAGGTCTCAATAACGCTGTTATATTTTAAAAAGGGAGGCACCTAGGGTGTGAAATTTAAGAAGGCACCCTGTCAGGGTTACATACGTACAGGGGTTAACCCCTAAGAGTGTGTGCCTCTTGAAATTTAGTTACCTGGCTTGCCTCCCCCACCAATTCAGTCCCTCAGGAGAATTCACTAATTCAGGTTCATTTGAAATAAGAAGAGAAATCTGGTGAAGGACAAGGTTTCTGGGAAAACCTCTCTGCTTCAGAAAGTAATTTAATCTGTTATTTCTCCGGACATCATCACATCAACAAGAAAGGCTTCTAATTGCTGGGGTCTCCCGTCACTGGCCACGAGGGATGGGAAGAGTGTGGGCATCTGATGACCTTTTCAACAACCGAATCGACCATCCACAAGTCCACCAGCCTCAGAACTCCCATGTTGCTGAGGCAGTCCGACTCGGTAGATCTGTTCCCATCACTTTGCAGGTGAATAGTAGCGTTGCATACACACTGGCAAACACCAGTAGGAGAAAGGGCTCGGAGCTTCTAGAAGGTAGGACGCCTGGCTTCTGTGTCTGGATTCAGGACAGCTAATTAGTGTGGGATCTTGGGCGGATACTTTATTTTAGCTCACCCTTTCATCTGTGTAAGATGAGGGGTGTGGAGGGGCGCCTGGGTGGCTTAGTCGGTTAAGCGTCCGACTTTCGCTTAGGTCATGATCTCGCGGTTCGTGGGTTCGAGCCCCGCGTCGGGCTCTGTGCTGACTGCCAGCTCAGAGCCTGGAGCCTGTTTCAGGCTGTGACTCCCTCTCTCTCTGACCCTCCCCTGCTCGCGCGCTCTCTCTCTCCTAGAAATAAATAAAACATTAAAAAAAAATTAAAAAAAAAAAAGATGAGGGGTGTGGAATAAAGACCCACGGGCCTTCTTACTCCAAAATCGGAGCCTGTCAAGAGCTCCTGGAAGCACTTGCTTCCGGAAGTAGAGAAGCCCAGGCGAAGTTCTGTGGCCTGTCGCTCACGTCCCCGCGGTGTTGTCCACTTGCGAGCCAGCGCAGCGGGTCCAGCCTGGCTCACCTCTCCGTTGCAGAGCGCTTTTCCTTTCACAATCGGCTTAGGGGGCTTCCCGCCCTTCCAGGGACCCCCGTGCGGCCCCACTAGCGAGGCGGGGCCGGGAGCTGGGGGAGGGGGCATCCGCGCCGCCGTCCCGGGACCAGACCCTGGCCGCGCCCAGCCGTAGGTTACGCGGGGGCGTCGCCTCCCCCGGCCGAGGGCAGGAAGCGTGGAGGTCGTCAGCCCAGCCGCACAGGCTCCGGCTGCTTCCTCCCGACGCGAGCCGGGACCCGGGAGCGGCTCTTCCCCGAGCGGTCGGCACCCAGGCCCGGAGGACGGCGCCGTGAGGAGCGCGGAGGCGCTGGAGGTGGCAAGTGGGGGCGTCCCGGGGCAGGGCGGGGTGGGCGGAGGACGAGGGGCCCGGGCGCTCGCGCTCCGAGACTCGACGCGAGGGCGATCTATGTAGAAGCGAACCGCGTCAAGTGGCGCCCCTCCCTGTTGACAGAAATAGCGCCTTTCAGGATCGCAGCCGCTCAGTGGCGCAGTTGCGGCTGGTCCCAGAGACCAGGGCACCTGATGCCCTCCTCCACGGTCTTGTCTCTGTGCTTCGCAGGCCTCCCGCCCTCCAGCCGCCTACCTCCCACCCCCGCCCTACTTCTTCAACCCCCTCTGTCTCCTGGGATCCGCGCTCTCACCTCTCCCTGCCTCTCCTCTTTCCTGCTGAAACCACCAGTCTGCAACTGCAAATCCGAGCACTTCCCACCCATACTAATTCTTCCAGTCATTCCATACACGTTTCTGGAGCGCTTCCTTTTCCTGGAGCGCTCTTCCAGTAGGACCCGCGGCGCCACGCCGCCCTTGCGGAGCGAGCTTGCGGCCCAGTGGGACCACACCTAGTAAGAGAAGGACTTTCAAGTAAGAGTGAGCCGGCGCCGGGATGGGTGGAGCGCGTGTAGGGATGCTGTCCAGGGTAGGGGTTTGAAGCCTTCTGAGACTGGGATGCTTGCGTGGAGAGGGAAGCTGAGTGCCATTAGCCAGCGCAGGGGTCGGAGAGCTGGATAAACAGTGTTTTCATTGGCCCAGGGGTGCCATAGCGGGACTGAAAGGCGGTCAGGATGGCTAGAGGCTGAGGCTGGAGCAAGATGAGGGGAACAGGTGGAGGGTAAGCCCTTTATTATTATTTTTTTATTTTATTAATTAAAAAAAAATTACATCCAAGTTAGTTGGCATATAGTGCAACAATGATCTCAAGAGTAGATTCCTTAACGCCCCTCACCCATTTAGCCCATCCCCCCTCCCACAACCCCTGCAGTAACCCTCTGTTCTCCATATTTAAGAGTCTCTTGGGTTTTGTCCTCCTCCCTGCTTTTATATTATTTTTGCTTCCCTTCCCTTATGTTCATCTATTTTGTATTGCAAAGCCCTCATATCAGTGAGGTCATATGATATTTGTCTTTCTCTGACTAATTTCACTTAGCATAATACCCTCTAGTTCCATCCACGTAGTTGCAAATGGTAAGATTTCAGTTTTTTGACTGATGAGTAATACTCCATTGTGTATATATATCACATCTTCTTTATTCATTCATCTTTCGATGGACATTTAAATGAAGTGAGCTTTGAGTTTATCCTAGGGGTCATGGAAAAATTTAAGTTTATTCATTTATTTTGAGAGAGAGAAAGAGAGGGAACTGGGGAGGGGCAGGGAGAGAGGCAGAGAGAGAGAGAGAGAGAGAGAGAATCCCAAGCAGGCTCCTGCTGTCAGCACACAGCTGGAGTCGGGCTTGGTCTCACCAACTATGAGATCATGACTTGAGTTGAAGCCAAGCCACTGAGCCACCCAGGCACCCTGAGCCATGGGAGATTTAAGAGGAGGGCTGAAAGGGTCTGTCTTGGTGGGGAGTGGTTCTGTTCCGATGCGACAGCAAGTGGTCTAGACTAGGTACAGACTCAGAAGTAGACCAGTTCCAGAGTCATTTGGGCAGCAGAAGGCTGGTGATGGGTGTGAGGGAATGAGGAGCCTCAGGAAGGAGTCAGGGAGGTAGTAGTTGGGTGAGGGAGGATCTCTTTTCCACCCTTTCCTAGTTGCCTGGTGGGCTGGGGCACGGTGGTGGCCATGTGTTCAGGTTCAGCTGTGTGGTCAGCAGACCTGCCCACTAACATTTACACCTCTGACCTCGGTGGCTTCATAGATCCTGGCCGCCCTATTCTTGGTGGTTTTGCTCTTTCTTGGACCCTTCTCTGTTCCTCGTTGCCTCTCTATCCTGGTGTCCCACAGGAGCTATTGCTCCGACTGTCAAGTAAAACTCCGAAATCTTGGGAGTAAAACTCCCAAATCTTGCTAAGTTAGCAAAATAACATAAAACAAAGCAAGAACACGGTTTTCTCAGCCTCTTTTCCGATGTTGGAAGGCTACGTGATGTCTAGAGGCTAGGGATGGTTGGGCACTCTGAGTTGGGTTATGGGATATCAGGAGTTAATTGGCCATCTAGGGATGAGAGCTGCTCAGCGGGCGAGCACGAGGACTCTCCCCAGCTGGTTGGTGACCAGTCACTGTAGATGAAAGGCCCTTGCCTCACAGCCAGTTTTATACCCAACTGCACCCTGTCTGTCGTCTCTTACCAGAATCTCAAACGTTTCTCAAGTATCAGCTGACAAATAGGGAGACTGTGGCCTTTTGCATAGCTGAAACTCTCAGAGGTCCTCTTCATAAATGTATACAAGAAGACAGTCAGTTAAGCGTCCAACTTTGACTCAGATCATGATCTCATGGTTTGTGGGTTCGAGCCCTGCATTGGGCTTTGTGCTGACAGCTAGCTCAGAGCCTGGAGCCTGCTTCAGACTCTGTGTCTCCCTCTCTCTCTGACCCTCCCGTGCTCACAATGTTTCTCTGTCTCAAAAATAAATAAAAAACATTACAAAAAAATTTTTTAATGTATGCAAGAAGAAACAGTATTGGGGCACCTGGGTGACTTCGTCAGTTGAGTCTCTGACTTTGGCTCAGGTCATGATCTCAGGGTTTGTGAGTTCAAGCCCCTGCATCCAGCTCGTTGCTGATGACATGGAGCCTGCTTCAGATCTTCTGTTTCCCTCTCTCTCTGCTCCTCCCCTGTTCATGCTCACTCTTTCTCTCTCTCTCAAAAATAAATAAACATTAGAAAGGAAGAAGAGGAAGAGGAAGAGGAAGAGGAAGAGGAAGAAGAAGAAGAAGAAGAAGAAGAAGGGGAGGAGGAGGAGGAGGAAGAGGAAGAGGAAGGAAAAGGAGAAGAAACAGTATTATGGAGACCAGGCTAGAGAACCTAGAATTTTTTTCAGTGAGAGTTTCTCCCTCCTCCCCCTTCCCCTCATCTCTGACCCATCCATCCTCCTCTCTGATGCCCTTCTCAGGTCATGGGAAAGGATGAACTTCACTGCTCCCAGGAGGTTGTCTGTGCCAACAAATTAGTGCTGTTAATTCCTGAGGCTCTCAAGCACCATACTTCTCTATTTACCTTAAAATGTAGGGGCTCAGTCAGTTGAGCCTCCCTCCGGCTTTGGCCCAGGTCATGATCTCATGGTTCATGGGTTCGAGCGCTGCCTTGGGCTCTGTGCTAACATCTCAGAGCCTGGAGCCTGTCTTCGGATTCTGTGTCTCCCTCTCTCTCTGCCTCCCCTGCTCATGCTGTCTCTCTCACTCTTTCAAAAATAAATAAAACATTAAAAAAATGTGGGCTGACTTTTTTGGATGGGGAGCAACAATAAATGGATTTTCCTCCAACTTAAAATATTTATGAGCTTTATTATTAAAAAAAAAAGTACAATTCCAAAATTGCCAGATATTTGGTCAATAACATTCAGGGGTGTATTAAAGCAGACTTCCTCTTTATTCTCTGGTTCCAGAACCTGTATCATGGATGCCCTTTCTGAAGCAAATGGCACCTTTGCCTTTCACCTTTTGAAGATGCTGTGTCAAGACAGCCCTTCACGTAACGTGTTTTATTCTCCTGTGAGCATCTCTTCCGCCCTTGCCATGGTCTTCCTGGGGGCAAAAGGAAACACTGCTGCCCAGATGGCCCAGGTAAACCTACCCGTCACCCAGGAGAAGGGACTGCCCTTTCAGTTGTTATGTTCTGTCACCCAGCTTCATACCTTATGCTGCAGAATTGCCATGAAGCAGGATGGGGAGGGGTCCTGGTGCCTACACACATACATGCTTATATCAGGCAGGTGGGGCTGCCTGGGGAACAAGACACAAAGGGCAGGGCTGGGAGTCTCCTTTGCTGGGACGTTTTTTGGGAAAAGTTCTCTCTAATTAATAATCTGGTTTTATGACTATCGAAATCTTGTCCTAGCACCTTGTCTTTGTTTAGAAAATGATACTGAAATTATTTGAAATTTAAGCAGTTAAGATCTCTCATTTTTGAAGTAAGAGAGTTCATAACTGTAATTATTCTTTGGTAATGAAGGTAGGTTAATCTCTCTTTCAAGTCATGAATATACCAACATGCCTTCCTGGTGAGGGGATGGACAAAAATATGCAAATGTGGGCGAAAATGCATGTCTTTATTACTTATACAGACTGTGTGGACTAGTAGTTTAACAAGCATTCAGCAAACATCTAAAAATAGTTAAGAATCAATCCCTATCCCGAAGGGGTTTTATACAGCAGGCAGAGGACATGTGCCTAAGATAGAAACTACAGGCTTGTCTCCCGCACACACCTTCACTACAGGAGGATTCGTATGGTTCTTTGTTTCAATACCACTTTCTTTTCTCTTGAGAACTCTTTGTGGGGTAATGGCTTATCTGAATCATTTTTCAGCTTGTGGCATGAGGGAGTAAAGGTTTATATGTAGAGAGGGGCTTTCTTGAGCTTACTGAACTTTTCTATATTTTAAGCTAGCTGATGAATGAACCCTTCTGGGAGTTTTTTTGTTTTTTGTTTTTTTTAGAGCCTCAAGATTTTCTGGTTACGTTGTATTCAGACATTGAAAGTTCCTTATCCTTCTGTGCTCAACTGGACAGTAATGGCACTCAGCATACAAAATATACATTGCTACTTATAGCATTAAGGAAAATTATTTTAAAGAACTAGTTTTTGGATTCTGTATAAGCTGACAGATTGAAATTGATGCCTTCCCCACTGATTGTATTTCTGCCCATTTCTTCTTGAGCTTATCATGCTTCTAACTGTATTTTTTTTTTAAATCTTAGAAACAAATTTTCCTCTATTTAGGGCATATCTCATGCTTGTGCTTTTCTTGGGATGCAAGATTTTATAATAACCCCTTTTCTGAACCCCCCTTCTCCTTGTCTTTCTGTCTGTTGCTTACCTTTAAACAAGAGATCTATTTAGGCAGAACAGCCAACTCTTACTCCTCTGTTTTCTGTTCTTCCCACCCCACCTCCGTCTTTTTCTCTCTGTATCTTCTCCCCACCTTCATATAGTATTGCTCTAGTATGTATTAAATCTGCAATTTAAGTGAAAACAATGTCCTTTTAAAGGAAAATTTTGTAGAGTATTTGAGAAAGAATTTTGCTTATAGAGGGGTGCCTGGGTGGCTCAGTTGGTTAAGCGCCTGACTTCAGCTCAGGTCATGATCTCATGGTTCATGGGTTTGAGCCCCACATCAAGCTCTGTGCTGACAGCTCAGAGCCTGGAGCCTGCTTCAGATTCTGTGTCTCCTTCTCTCTCTGCCCCTCCTCCCCTCACACTCTGTCTCACTCTGTCTCTTAAAAATAAATAAATGTAAAAAAAATTTTTTTTGCTTATAGAGTTTTTGAGATCAAAGAACAATCTTGATTATTTTTTTAAGTTTATTTATTTATTTTGAGAGAGAGGGAAAGCATGAGTTGGGGAGGGGCAGAGGGAGAGGGGATAAAGAGAGAGAATCCCAAGGAAGCTCCACACTGTGAATGTGGCACTCGATATGGGGCTCGAACTCATGAACCATGACATCATGCCCTGAGCTGAAGTCAGATACTTAACCAACGGAGCCACCCAGGTGCCCCATCTTGATAATTTTTAAAATTATTTTTCTCAACAGGTACTTTCTTTAAACACAGAGAAAGACATTCATCACAGTTTCCAGTCACTTCTCACTGAAGTAAACAAACCTGGCACCCAGTACTTGCTCAGAACAGCCAACAGGCTGTTTGGAGAAAAGACATGTGAATTCCTCCTGGTGAGTTGAGTCAGCAAAACAATAAAAGTTGTATTCAAAATATAAAGTCTGAAAACAAGGTCCTGGAGAACCAAAAATTATGGTGGACAGTGTTTTAAAAACTCATAATTCTACAACTGTGCTTTGAATTATTTAAAATTTGACTACTTGTAAAATTCATTTATCCATTTCTGGTTGGTTTTTCATGATTTAGTACTTAGCTTATTTTATTTATTTTATGTTTATTTTATTACTTATTTTTGAGAGAGAGAGAGAGTGTGAGTGGGGAGGAGCAGAGAGGGAGGGAGACACAGAATCTGAAGCAGGCTTGCGGCTCTGAACTGTCAGCACAGAGCCTGATGTGGGGTTTGAACTCATGAACCGTGAGATTGTGACCAGGTGCTCCAGTACTTAGTTTATTTATAAACTCTGGAATTTCAGTACCTAATAGGCTAAGATATCACTTTTAAGAGATGTATGCTTATTTTAATAAAAAGTATATACTATTCTGATTTTTTGGAAATTAAACTTTATTTAGGAATATAGCCACATTGAACACTTTTCTCTCCAAAGACTTTTAAGGAATCCTGTCTTCAGTTCTACCACACTGAGCTTGAGCAGCTTCCATTTGCCAAAGCTGCAGAGCAGTCCAGGAAACACATCAACACTTGGGTCTCAAAAAAGACTGAAGGTCAGAATTACATGTTATTACATCAGTTTTTTTTTTTTTTTGCCTTCTCCCCCTCCCCCTCTTCCTGCCCCTCCCCTCCCTCCCTCTTCCTCCCCTTGCTGTTCTGATTTTACTAGTGTTTCAGATGGTCAGAGTCACTCTGACAGGCTAGGCCTCATAGCATATTTGGACCTTAATGGACTCAAAGTGATTCCGATCAGAAGCTCGGGTTTTCAACAATGGAGACCTAATTTTTTCCATTCTCCAGGGACCAGAATGACTGATATGTCAAAAGAAAGTCATAGACCAGATTTCCAGTTTAGTACCTTACACTGAAGCATACTTTCACGTGGCCTGTAATGTTCACATGTTGGGTGGGTTCATCGCCTCCATAGGAAAGACACTACTGGTCAGATCTCCCCTGAGTCATACACTTGGGCTTCCTCCTTCTAAATTCTGTGTGGACCTACCACCACCTTTACCTTACACATTAAGCTTACTTATTCTAGTGCTGCTTTCATGTCTTCCACTTATACTCCCTTAATTAGATTTGATAAGCCTAGATTTGATAGGCCAACTGCAGACTGTCTCTCAGGGCTGATCAATCCTGTAGACTAAGATCATCCTTGTTTGGCATTGAGCCTTATTCATTTGTTTTACAGAATGCCATGTTCTGATATTGGCCCCCACGATCAATGATGATGTTTGAACCATTCAGGACCCTCTGCACCAACTCTACTTGGTACCACTAGGAACAGTCCTATTTCTGTCAGTAAATAAGACAATCGAGAACAGACGTTGTCCTTCCTTAAAGAGTTAGCAGTTATTGCCACCATTTCTTCTTGGAATATTTGCCACTTAATACCATCTGGAGGCAGCAGATTAGCAGGGATGCTCTTAGTTCATCGGAAAGGCAGTTTGATACCCAGGGAAAGAGGGGAGAGTCTTTCACTTCCCCACCTTACCTTTGCCAGAAATGTCTGGTGTTTTGTTTAGAGGATCAAATAGTGAAATCACTTCTATTTGCTTCCAGAAGCTGCTCGGTGCATCCAGCGTGCCCATTATCAACTCTTCTCTGTTGAGCTGTTCATTCCAGCTGCCTCTAACATGTGGATTTAGTTGTGGAATGTTAGCACTGCTTATAGCTCTGCTGCACTAAACCAGACAATCCCATTTCACTGCCTGAGATAACCCAGGTCCCTCCAGCTCATCACTCTTTTCCTGCTTGCCTCGTTGTCTGACTGCGTGTTGTGGTTTTCACTGAGTGATTTAGAAGTCATTCACTGTCCTCAACTTTGTGGAAAGGCCTTGGTTACCTGACCATGAATACCACTCTTATGTGTTGTGTTTGATTTCTGCACCTAACAATCCAAACTTAGCAAATTTGAAAAAAGAAAAGAATGTTTGGTTCTTGACTAATAACCAAGGATTTGCCAGTAAACCTTATCATGATTTATTCATCCCATGTTCTATAAATTCACCTGAATATATATTCTCTACTTTTTCTGGAAGGTAAAATTCGAGACCTGTTGCCAAATAGCTCGATTGATGCACAGACCAAGCTGGTTCTCGTCAATGCCATCTACTTCAAAGGAAGGTGGAATGAACAGTTCAACAAAAAGCACACAAGGGAAATGCCTTTTAGAATAAACCAGGTGAGAGAAGCTTTCAGAAATCCTACTAGAAGAAATTTAATGGAAAAAACTAAGTTTGTAAAAGTATAAATGATTGGTTAAAAATAATTTTGAAGGGTACCTGGGTGGCTCGGTTGGTTAAGCGTCTGACTTCGGCTCAGGTCATGATCTCATGGTTCATGGGTTCGAGCCCCGTGTCAGGCTCTGGAGCTCAGAGCCTGGAGCTTGCTTCAGATTCTGTGTCTCCTTCTCTCTCTGCTCCTTCCCCACTCATGCTCTGTCTCTCTCTCTCAAAAAAAAAAAAAAAAAAAAAGAATAAATGTAAAAAAATGTTAAAAAATAATTTTGAAACCACATTACAAATGAAATTTTAAACTCAGTAGAAAAGAACAGAAGAATAAAAATTATTTGCTGTAATTTTTTTGCATTTTATTACTGCTCCTACTGCCTCTGATAATCTCTTCTACCTTCAGTGCTGTCACCTAGTTCTGGAAACTTAAGACTTTCTTCTAAGCCCAAGTTGCTAAATAGAAAGCAAAAAACAAGTGTTAAGGAAAAACGTGTGATATGTGTGTGTGTGTGTTGGGAGAGTGGATAGAGGGAGTGATATTTCTTTAATCAGATATTTAAAGAATTAAAATAAGTATAGATTGAATTAATAGTAATTAATCATTATTTAGTATTTATAAATTTCTAATATTAAAACTGACAAAGATCTTAGACTTGATATTGAGGTATAACTTCAGGCAAGCATTAAAATAGCTTGCCAAATCCCCAGCCTTGGAAAAAAAAAAACCCATTTTAATGTAATTAGGAAACACACTCTGTAGGTAAAACCTTTTATGGGGGGCTTAAGGTGCACTGTACATAATCAGCCCTCCAGTTACAGGGTGGGAGGGGGAGAACTTTTCTAGCATTGATTTTAGAAACTATTCTAATTTGTATTAACAGCTGATCTGTATCAGCTTGAAAAAAATAAGTATAATACTCTAACTTCTGGGTGCATATACCCTCTTCTGTATTTTTTTGAGAGAGAGAGCAGGGGAGGGGCAGAAGGAGAGAGAGACTCTTAAGCAGTTTCCATGCTCCATGCTGAGCCTGACATGGGGGCTTGGTCCCATGACCATGAGATCCTGACTTGAGCCGAAATCAAGAGTCCAACATTTAACTGACTGAGCCACTCAGGTGCCCCACCTCATCTGCATTTAAAAAAAAATTATTTCCTTGGATTAGAGTATCAGAATTGGAACAATTGGATTTAAATACATGAAGAGATATTAATTCTTTCTACTTGCTGGCAAGACTGCTTTCTAAGTGGGTATGTCCATACACTACCAGTCACATTCCTGTGAAACTCTTAAATTTCTTCCTACTTTATCTCAAAACCTTTCTCTAGTTAAAATGAAATAATATTCCATTTAATTTTATATGACTGTGTCATTTATATGGTTTGTTTATTTTGAGAGAGAGAGTGTACACATGTGAGCAGGGTTGGGGCAGAGAAAGAAGGAGAGAGAGAATCCCAGGTAGATCCATACGATCAGCACAGAGCCCAACGTAGGTCTCTAATTCACAAACTGTGAGATCATGTCCTGAGCTGAAATCAAGAGTTGGATGCTTAACTGCCTGAGCCACCCACGCACCTCTCCTCAGATATAGTTTAAGTGAGGAAAATCTGATTTCCTCCTCTGGAAAATGCAGAGTACTGCATTTATTTTGCTGAGTAGCACATCTTTCCTAGGCTACCTGTTTACAGCAGATGCCTTATAATGATGACAGGAAAGACTCAGAACTAGCACATGAATATTCTTTCCATCACAGGTTCTGAAAACACTCTGGAGTCAATTTTAGGTGTTTTGGACATTTTTAGGGCCTCTTTCAATAATCTGTTTTTAATTCCATGCTCATCTCTATTCCCATCAGAAGGAGCAGAGGCCAGTGCAGATGATGTTTCAGGAAGCTACATTTAAGCTTGCCTATATTGAAGAGGTGCAGGCCCAGGTCCTGGAGGTGCCTTATGTCGGTGAGGAGCTGAGCATGGTCATTCTGCTTCCAGATGACAACGTGGATCTAAGCTTGGTGAGATGAATCCAGTGACAACCTTCACATCCTTCCTGATAGGCTAGAACTCAGGCACCATTTTCTTTTTCTTTTAATCATTCATCTTTTTTTTTTTCGTAAATAGTTTATTGTCAAGTTGGTTTCCATATAACACCCAGTGCTCATCCCAACAAGTGCCCTCCCCCATGCCCATCACCCTCCTTCCCCTCTCCCCCAACCACATCAGTCCTCAGTTTGTTCTCAGCATTCAAGAGTCTCTCATGGTTTGCCTCTCTCCCTCTCCCCAACTATTTTTCCCCTTCTTCTCCCCCATGGTCGTCCATTAAGTTCCTCCTAATCCACCTATATGTGCAAACATATGATATCTGTCCTTTGCCTGACTTATTTTGCTCAGCATAACACCCTCAAGTTCCATCCATGTTGCTACAAATGTTCAGATTTCATTCTTTCTCATTGCCATATAGTATTCCATTGTATAAACATACTACAACTTCTTGATCCATTCATCAGTTGATGAACACTTAGGCTCTTTCCATGTTTTGGCTATTGTTAAAAGTGCTGCTGTGAACATTGGGGTTCATGCTCAAGCACCATTTTCAACATTTGTGTTTATCTTTTAAGTTGATGATATGGGCAACCAGGCAGCAGGGCACAGTATTCAGATACTTAGGCTTTGGAACCAAACTGTTATTCAGAACCTGCTTCTCCCTTTATTATCTATGTGACCTTGCCAAATAACTCTATTTTCTAAAATGGGGATGGTGATAACATCTCCTGATAGAGTGTTATTAGGATAAAATGGGCATAGTTCAGGGAACAAGCTTAGCACATTGTCTGGTGCATAATCAGCCCTGCATAAATGTGATCCATAATTATTATCATAATCATTGTTGTTAGCATTATATTTTAAATACCGAGAACCTGAAATTCAGGAGGGCAGAGCCAGAAACAGCCGGAAATGCCATTCCCCGCCCATGCCCACTCTGCTTCCTTTTGTCATGAATCCCTAGTGTGAGAGTCAGCCCTGGCCTGGCCCAGTAGCTCCTAGTAGTTCCTGGGCAGCGCAAGCACTGAGTGGCACAGGGTGCTCCCATGACCTAAGGGGCCTATGTGAGCAGAGCTGCAGCCATTGGCTGTCTTTCTGTCCATCTCCCTCCTCCCCACCCATGTCTCTTCTTCAGAGTGTATGCAGGATTGCAGGATTGTGCCTCTGGCAAATTGTTCTTCTGGGTGGACTCCACCAAGAGCCCTTTCTTTCCCAATCATTTTTTTTAAAGTTTTTTTAAAATTTTTTTATTTATTTTGAGAGAAAGAGAGAGCTTGCATGCATGAACGGAGGTGGGAAAGGATCCCAAGCAGGCTCTGCACTGTCAGCACATGGAACCCAAGGCAGAGCTTGATCTCACAAACCATAAGATCATGACCTGAGCTGAAACCAAAAGTCGAAGCTTAACCAACAGAGCCACCCAGGTGCCCCTCCCCATCTTTTTTCTTACCAACAATGCCTCATCTTCAAAAAATAAGCACAGTTAAAAAAAAAAAGAAAGAAAGAAAATCACAGTCAGCTGGGCATTGACGATTGTCAGGAAAAGATGTCTCCTAGACAATGTTGGGTAACGGGAGGAACAGCCACTGTCTTTGTGCCTCTGGGCTGTTTGAAGTCTTCCCCACCTGGCAAGGAAGCCACACATTTAATAGCACGAATACGAGATCGCACAGATTTCCTGGCAGATAAAGGTGCCACTGGTCTTGTGTGACAACTAACACCTATCTATGCAAGGAGGAAGGCTATGTGGGTGGGGATGTAAATATGTACCAAAGTATGAATTTCAAAATCAAATTGTGGTCTTTCAGGTGGAGAAACATCTCACCTATGAGAAATTCAGAGCGTGGACCAAGCCAGACTGTATGAAGAGTACTGAAGTGGAAGTTTTCCTTCCGAGGTTTAAACTGGAAGAGGAGTATGACATGGAGTCTGTGCTTCAGCGCTTGGGATTAGTGGATGCCTTCCAGGGAGACAAGGCCGATTTTTCGGCAATGTCAGCCGAGAGAGATCTGTGTCTGTCCAAGTTTGTGCACAAGAGTTTCGTGGAGGTGAATGAGGAAGGCACAGAGGCCGCGGCTGCCTCGGCCATCGTGGTTGTGGAGTGTTGCATGGTATCTGGACCGAGATTCTGTGCCGACCATCCCTTCCTCTTCTTCATTAGGCACAACACAGCCAACAGTATTCTGTTTTGTGGCAGGTTTTCCACTCCGTAAGGGTGAGCATTTCCCTCTTTCTGTGTCCTGTCTTGCTTCACAGCCCTGTGAAGATGGGCCTTTAAAGCCAAGTGCGAAGGTGATGAGGGCAGATTCCTCATCCATCTGAATCTCATGTTTGTCCACACTCAGCTCTCCCCATACTGACCACTCATTTGCCCTACTTAGTCAAAATCATGTGACTATAGACCTTAATGATTCCCTGTTGTATTTAAAATGCAGTTCTAATCCCATAGGATGGCATACAGAATTTTCCTAGATGGTTTCAGACTTCTTCCTCACTCATTCCACATGTAACTCATTTCAGTTATGCCATATTGTGCCTTATTGCATGCTGGTCTTAGCCTATTTCAGTAGTAGTACATACTTCTATCTAAGGCTACTGTTTTATAGTTTTCCTGGTACATTGGCTTCTTAGAAAGTTTCTTTAATGCACATTTTTATTTTATTTTTGACATTCATGCATCGCCATGTATGTGACAAATGAGGCATCAGGCATTGGAGACAAAGGGGCAGAGTCATGGTCTTTTGACATCTGGTCTTTAATACTCATCCTGGAATGATGTAGCTTTTATGACAGCCAGATTGGACTAGGTAATGGCCTTAAACTTACCATGTGACTCCCTTGTAGGGATCAGACCTTTCTTCCTATTAATTGTATTTCTCCACCTCCGACTCTTAACAGTAAAACTTCCATTCAGTTCTTAAAGCTCATTTCCGATGTCATCTTCTCCAAGAAATTTTTCCTTCTCTGCATAAGCAGATGTACGTTTCTTAACTCTCATTGCACACAGAGGGAGGGCATTTCTCTTATGGAAGTTGTTTTATGTATTAGTCATCTGTGTTCTCCAGCTACGCCTTAAATTCCTCCGAGGCTAGGACTATATTTTATAGGTTTGTGTACCACATACAATGCAGTCAGAAGTAATTTGATCATACATGAACTCTGTAATGTTTTAAAAAGTGATTAGATGTCAGTGATATTATTTTTGGTGTTTTTTTTTTTTTTTACTAAAGTTTATTTATTTTGAGAGAGAGGGCATGGGTGGGGGGTGGCAGAGAGAGAGGGAGAGAGAGAGAATCCCAAGCAGGCTCCACACTGTCAGCACAGAGCCTGATGTGGGGCTTGAACTCACGAATCCATGAGATCATGACCTGAGCAGGAATCAAGAGTCGTATGCTTAACCAACTTAGCTACCCAGGCACCCCATTATTGATGTTTTTTTAAAGAATTTTTTTATTAAAGTGAAATGCACATGTCATAAAATTACCCATTTAAAAGTGAACAACACAGTGCAACATGTCCTGCAACCACTACTTTAATTCCAAAAAATTGTCATTGCCCTAAAGGAGAACCCTGTGCCCCCTCAGCAGTTCCTCCCCGTTCTCTTCTCCCTTCAGTTCAGAGAGGGTCACTTCAGATTTCAAGGACCCTTATCAGTCTCACTTGCCAGGGCACTGTGATGGGCTGTGATGAATTACAAGAGGCGGTACTAGCAAGCGCAGAAGGGAAATTTCTTTCACGTGGAATGTGTGACTGATGTCCCCCCGCCCCCAGGAAATCACCCAGATCTCTAGACCTTTCCCAGATAACAGGGATTATCGAGAAGCTTTTGAAAGGGTATTTGCAAGACAGAGTCTGTTAAGTGAGCTTGGCTCATAGAGAGAGAGTAGGAGACAAAGTGGGACAGAGATGGACAGAAACAGAGATAGATGGAGACTCTGTAAGTGAGCTTGACTAGAGTCACCTGGATATGCTGGACATTTGGATACTGCCCAGGAGAAATGTCCAGGGAATGCAAGTATGGATCCCAACAAACCAAAATGGGCCAATCTAGAGTTACCTGGCCACTCTGGGCTCAGCTTCTGGCCTGTCAAATGAGAGAGCAGTTCGTGACGTGAGGGTGGATAAGGTTATGGAGCTGGGCCACATAACAGTGAAGGGCAAAAGCATTTGGAAATATTGCCAAGCTTCTAAAAGGGAGTGCTGACTGCTGAGACCAATAGCTTTCTTCTTTGTTCTGGGAGGGGAGGGGGGTTGGGCTGCTTTTCTGACTTCTCAGGAGCTAAGGTCATTTGCGTCATGTGGGCAGGACTAGGTGGAGTTCCAGTCCCAGACCCTGAAGGCTGACTCCTAATAATATTTCCGGTCCAACTCTCTAATGTGGGAGCTGGGTACTGACCTTCCAGGGCTATTAAAATAAGGAAGTTCAGTCGGACAAGACTTTCAGCTCCAACATTACACAAGCCTATGTCTCTGGATCTCTTCTTGACAACCAGGCGAAGATGGCATCAGCACAGCCCAGCCACCTACTCCAAAGAGCGTTGGGCTCCGTTGAAAAACTGTGAGGTAGTAAGATTGTCATCTGTTCCTCTTTTCCGGGAAGAGGGAAATAGCATCTGTTAAATCCTGTGTGCCAGAGACTGTGCTAGGCACTGCACAATAAATCATTTTACTTGGTCCTTACAGCAACCTGGGATATTGACAAGGAAACTGAGATTCAGAGAAGTAAAGCAACTTGTTCAAGTTCATTTAGCTAGTAGGAGGCTGGTAAAGGAAATGAAGCCAGAGCTTTCAGACGGCAACGTCAGAAGCCAGCGTGGGAGAGAAACACACGCCCCCTACTCCAAGATGCACAGGCTCTCTGTTCACCTGGCTTTGCCCAGACGCTCTCCCAGCATCTTAGCTGTTCACAGTGGAAACGTTGTGCTGCCAGTGTTTTCTCCTTGGTTTCTTTAAACGTTAAAGGAGTCTCTAATGCCGGAAGTTTCAAGCGAGGCGGGATGGAGGGCGAGAGTAGCTGGGATCCCAATCCAGGTATCTCCAAGGAAGGATGCCTCACCGGTGACCCAGGCCCTGCGCCACCATTCTGGGAGCCCCCGAATGGATAGCAGGAAGCGGTATTCGGTGTAGCAAAATCCCTAGAGTGAAGCCAAGTAGGTCCGGACCTCGGGTGTTGGGATGGGGGAGACGGGAGAACAGCTTTGTGACGTGGACAAACTTTCAGGCGTATCCAGCGCGGCCCCGCCCCCAGCTCCCAGCCCCCACCCTCCGGGCAGGAGCCGTCTCTGCCAAGGCCCCGGCCCAGCCCCAGGCCCGCCCCTCCCGGTCCCGGCAGCCCCGCCCCCGCCCTCCACTCAACCCCGCGCCGACCCTTTGGCCCGGACCGGAAGAGGAGCAGAAGGAGGTGCTGGAAGCTTCGGAGAAAGTGGGCCTCTGGTTTCGCTTTCAGCTGCCAGCTGGCTCCTGTACCCCTGAGAACGCTGGGGCCCAAGGGGAGTCATTTTGGCTTTGGGAAGGGACAAAGAAGGAACACCAGAATCTAGCCATTTGGTGTGTGCCTAGGATAGAAAACAGAGGGCTGCGTTGTTAGCAACTACAGTTGCACTAGCAGGGACAAGACCTCACTGTCCATTTTCTCGAGAAGGCCAGGGCTCTTGATTCCTATTCAGGGAGAACTGCAGAGTAGAAGTTGGGAAAGGTCAGGAGGGAAGATTCTGAGAGCCAGGATGTTATGTCCTTATGTGAGCGCTGATTTTAGATGGTGAGGAATTAGTCCCTGATTTGGGAAGAGTCCTGATGAGGATAATATTTAACAAATATGCACCAATGTGGTCTCATTGGTTGTGTTTGGCCAGCATTTATTGTGACTGGCCACTGCCCAGTGTACTCTCATCACTGCTCTGGGACCTGCCTTCTGTAAGGTCAGCTCTGTGACCACCTCCCCACACTTCCTAGGAAGCACCCTTTCCTTGGTCAGTGGGGCTTCCCAGAGATAAACTGAAGATTGCAGCCCAGGTTTGGGTTCCAAGGAGGGAGCTCTGTGCTCCTCTGAGGCCAGAGAGTGAGGAAGCAGAGCTCCCAGGCAGGCATCCACAGCCATCCTGGTTCTCTTGGCAAGGGCTCGAGGGACTCAAGTCGTGAAGGGACAAGAATTGGGACAGGATTCTGGACTTACCCAGGGCAAGGAAAAGAGGGGCCTTGGCATGACAGGAGGACCCCGTGGAGTCCACCTGAAGACCCTGGTCTAGGAGTGCTCTGGCTGGGGGCCAAGCATAACTGCCCCCGAGTAGCCTGAAATGTCCAAAATCAAGATCCTCTGAGAGTATTTTGATCAGTCATATGTAGAAGCAGAGCCCGAAGGCAGCATAGTGGGGTTAGGGGCCTGAGTTCTGCAGCCAGACAGCCTGGATGTGACTCTTATTGTGCCACATACTGTTTGGAACATCTTAAGTAAGTGATTGCAGCTCTCCACGCTGGATATCCTTATCTGTAAGGATACCTATCTCTAAGGGTGTTTTACAAAGTAGGGGTGTGATGTACTTGGGACAATATGTGACCTACAGTAAGAGCTCAGTAAATATTAGCTTCTGTTACTGTTTCAAGTTAATCACATTGTTCTCTCCCTAATGCATAGTGAAGGCCACTGTCAATGGGGAATGAAACCTTTTATGGACAGATGGTAAAGGAAAGAAGTAGAAGGAGGAAGAGATGGGCATTTATTAATGAATTAATGCAGGTCCAGGGAAGGAGATCACGGACCTGGGTCTCCCTATGGGGCCATCTTTGGACAACTAGAAGCAGTGTAAGGGAAGGTCATGAGTGTTGGGCAGGGCAGGGGAGAAGCGTGATCGCAAAAGCCAAGGGGCTAAAAAGGAACGGTGATTTAGGCCTCTCAGACCTTCCCTCCTTCTTGTCAGATGGCCTCTGACATCTGAGCAGTGGTAATGGCAGCTCTCTCCCTTGGCAGGCGTAACTGCCTGCTCCTTTGCTGCCCAACCTTCCCTGGCTGTCACCCTGCTTTGCATTCTTCTGAGTGTGAGCAAGGAGAAAAGGGAAAAGGCAGCTTCTCAAGTACCCCCACCTCCCCCACTTCTCTGAGCTGTACAGAAGCCAAGCTTCTCCTCCCCTCCAACCCCTTTAACACTCTGCTAGCTCCTTTGAGAAGCCATGTGCCCTTGAGGACAACCAGTTGTTGAACACACAAACCAACATTTCTCTCTGTGCTCTGGTTGCAGAACCCCCCACCACAGATGCCCTCTCTGAAGCAAATGGCACCTTTGCTAAACGTCTTTTAAAGAAACTATGTGAAGTAAACCTCTCATACAATGTGGTTTTTTTTTTTCCCTTCCCTGAATGTCTCCTGTGCTTTGGCCATGATCTTCCTGGTGGCAAAAGGAAATACCACTGCCCAAATTGCCCAGAGATCTCCACCACAGATGGAGAAGGGATTGTGTGTGGTCATTAGAATCATTTACCAAAAGTGACTGGGTTTCCTCCCTTCTAGCACGTGGTGGGATTTTTTCCCTCCTGGTTCCCTTGTAGGGCCAAATGGCCAGTTGTGGCCACTGGGTTATGTGTAGAAGGGAAACGCACAGGAGTGTTAACTAACAGTTAGAGGTCCTCTAAAATTCTTTTTGTCCCTCTAGCATGGTATTGGCAATATTTGTGATGACGGCTACTTTACCGGGCTGGGTCCCCCAGGTCCCTTACCTATCCGTAATGGACATACAGTCTGAAGATTAAATGATTCTTTGTTATTTTAAACCACCACGATTTGGGGGAATTATTTGTTACCATAGTGTAACCAAGCCTGTCGTGACTGATACAAGCACACATTAGTTTTTTTCACAACTTCATAGAGCTGCTCATGAGGACTTCTGCCAGTACTGTCGGAATGAGAAAGGAACTGATAAATGTGGTAGGACCTTGCAGATAATTTCCTCCATGGCTCATTTTTCACATAAACTTAGAGGTGTTTTTTCGTGGGAAGGCCCTAGGCTTGGAGAGAGTCAACCAGCTTTAAAGTCAAGGCTCTGCCTCTGATCCACCAAAGAACCTTTCCTAAGCCACATAACTTGTCAGAACTTTATAAAAGATAGATAACAGCATCTCAGCTTACTGCTTCATGAGACGTTTGTAATCTAGTGAAATACGTACGTGAAAGTGCTTTATAAACTGTTACATAATGTGCATATTAGCCAT